AATTCGAAAGCATCTATTCTTTGACGCTCGGCCTTCTTTATGGTCTAACTCTCCATACATTACTACTGGGAATACCATTGCTTTGACCATACAGACTTCTGTTGGAAGGGTGATGTCTCTACTTTTTATTATGCGGTCTAGGTTTGCCATCACTTTCTTCCCAAGGAGCAGGCGTCTTATACATTCATGGCTGCAGTCACTGTCTGCAGTGATCTTGGATCCCAGGAACGTGAAGTCTGTCACTGCTTTCATGACTTTCCTTTCTATTTGCCAAGGAGTGATGGGGCCGGATGCCATGATCTTAGGTTTTTTGATGTTGAGTTTCAAGCCAGCTTTTGCTCTCTTTCATCCTTAGCACGAGATTCTTTAGGTCCTCTTCACTTTCTGCCATTAGAGTGGTATCGTCTGCATATCTGAGGTTGTTTATGTTTTTCCTGGCAATCTTAATTCCAGCTTGTGATTCATCCAGGTGGGCATTTTGCATGATGTACTCGGCATATAAATTAAATAAACAGGGTGACAATACACATCCTTGTCGTACTCCTTTTCCTATTCTAAACCAATTAGTTGTTCCATGTCCGGTTCTAACTGTCGCTTCTTGACCCTTATACAGGTTTCTCAGGAGACATGTGAGGTGGTCTGGTACTCCCATCTTTTTAAGGACTTGCCACAGTTTGTTGTGATCCACACAATCAAAGGCTTTAGCATAGTCAATGAAGCAGAAGTAGATGTTTTTCTGGTACTCCCTTGCTTTCTCCATAATCCAGCAAATGTTGGCAATTTGATCTCTAGTTCCTCTACCTCTTCAAAAACCAGCTTGTTCTTCTGGTAGTTCTCTATCCACATACTGCTGAAGCCTAGCTTGTAGGATCTTGAGCATGACCTTGCTAGCGTGTGAAATGAGTGCAATTCTGCCATAGCTTGAACATTCCTTGGCATTGCCCTTCTTTGGGAATGGAATGTAAACTGACCTTTTCCAATCCTGTGGCCACTGTTGCTTTTTCCAAATTTGCTGGCATATTGAGTGCAGCACTTTAACACCATCATCTTTTAGGACTTTGAATAGCTTAGCTGGGATACCATAATCTCTGCTAGCTTTGTTGTTAGTAATGCTTTCTAAGGCCCATTTGACTTCGCATTCCAGGATGTCTGGCTCAAGATCAGCGATCACACCGTCGTGGTTATCATTGAGATCCTTCTTGTATAGTTCTTCTGTGTATTCTTGCCACCTCTTCCTAATCTCTTCTGCTTCTGTTAGGTCCCTACCACTTTGTTATGGCAGAATAGTTTCTGGTTAATTAGCTTATGGTTTCCAGTTCTTTCTTTTTTTTAATAGTCCAAGGCAATCGTGTTATTACACTACTTATATTGTGTTCCAACATTAATTCTTATTGTGCAATTTGTTAAAAAAAAAGAGTTGCACATTTTACTGTGAAGAACGCTGTACAAACCAATCTAATGAAATAAATCTCTTTTGGGGAGGGGGGATTCACTTATGTGCAGTCTTCCCTGAGCATTCATGGGGACTCGCGATAAGCAACAGAAATGCTGCGAGAAAGCCCCTACTGCAGAAGTAGTGCTGCAGACTTGCAACATTAAAACAGACTTTCCTGCGGAGCTTCAAAGCAGAGCAGTAAGGACATACTGCAGAAACTGTCTTGGATAGACTAAGAGTCTAACTTGATAACAGATAACATGTAATATGAAGCACGTCTCTTCATAACCCAAACCAAAACTGATCTGCTGTCAGAAGCTTCTTTGACTTTAAGGCCCTCATCCAAACACCTCACATGCTGCAATGGTCAAACATATGCTGCTCCATGTGAGGATTTCCATCCCCATGATCCCCAAACAGACAGTTGCCATAGTTCAGATGCAAACATGCAAATGAACAGTTTGTAGGTAGCAGAAAAGAAAATCTGCCCAAGCAGATATTGTGCTTTGCGTGTTGGCACTCCAGTGTAGATCATGACCCACATAGCCCCAGACACCAGATGGGATTTTGACCTCTGCAGCACATTTTCACATAAGCAGGACCCTGACCGACTTTAGTGCCATCAAGTGTATCTTGGAGGACATGATCCAGGCCCTTTCTGCAGTCACAACTTATTGCAGAGTATCTGAGCAGTCAAGCCTTTAAACTTGACCTTGGATTTCTGTGCCTGCCATCCGTACCAGACTTACACCATCTGGTGTGTGTATTTATTTAGTTATTTTATTATATTCGTATCCCACCCTCCCCACATAGCAGCCTACGAATACAGATACAAATGCAGATACAAGAAACCCCATACTTTTTTCTAAATCGGGGTGGAACATGACTTGTGTGGTGGGCAGTGTCCAATTTTTTTAAAAAAAAAATTATGCAATTGCCTCATTGCAACTGCACAGTAGTGTTCAGCAAGTACCTTCCATTTAAATCCTCATAGTTCAGGGTTTGTGCATGTCTTTTAGCATTAGTATGTTGAATGACAGGGAACAGAAAGGAACTGCAGGGAAAGGGGGGGGAACCCACTGTTGAAACTGACCATTGGGATTTTCTTTCCTGTTCAGTCCAACATTTTGCATCAATCCTGTTTCAGGTGAGAAGGTAAGCACACAAGCTCTCCAGGAACAAACCATGCTTCAGGTGTGTGGAGTATCTCTGCCTTTGGAGAGGCGAAGATGCTGCTTGATTGTCAGTAACGTCCGATTATGAGCAAACGGGCTCCCTACATACACAGCCAGCTCCTCCCCTCTTGGTCTCCCACCTCCTCCTCTCTAAGCAGCCTGCCTGTTCTCTCCCTCACTTTCCCCTGATCTGAGAAGCAGTGGTGCAGAAGCCAGGCTAAAGATTTCTCCTTTATGGTTCAGAGGATGGGCTTGTCCTGGCTTATGATGAGTAATGGGGGGGGGGGGGGGGGTCCCTGACCCAGGGCCAGCGGGAGAAGGCAGCACAGAGCTGAAAGTCTCCCTGCAGGCACAGCGATGCCGATGGGTTCCTGCAAGTTCAGCAGTGCGCTGCCTTCTCCTGCTGGCTGGTTTAAACTTGGAGGGCTCCTTGGCAGGCTCTCTTGAGCTGTCCGGTTTAAACCGGGCTGCCCAGCAGAGCCCCAGCCAATCCTGTGGGGGGGAACACTCCCTGCAGGGTCAGCTCCAGTCTCCTGCACACACACACAAACCACCGCCTCACACCAAATGGTGTAAGACTGGTACAGACAGCAGGCACAGAAATAATTTATATATAATGTATAAATAATTTTTAACCCAGACAACCCAGTTTAGTGAAAAACTGATTTCACTAAACTCATCCTGCTTGCAAAAAACAACAACAGACCTCTTTACTTGATGAAAAAAGCAAGCACTGATGAAGGGGGGAAGGGGGGGGAAGGCGCAGAGTGGGCAGAACAACCCCCATGTTGTGTTATTTAGATGTCCGTATTATAAGGCGGCGCATAATAAAATCACTCCGCTGACTGAACAAATTCCAGGCTTTTCCAAAAAAGCTAGACTCGAGTTTCTTCTATCTGAGAGAAACCCCAAAATTACCCACCAAGTAGCCAGTTTCTGTATGGTGATACTCAGATCACGGAAACTCTAAGGTAGCTACGATGGAGAGGTGCTGTGAAAGCAAAGGAAACCACCAGTGCATAAAAGGCCCCAACCGTGCAAAAACGTCTTCTGATTCCCTCCTCCCATTGCAGCCCACCCCCCCACTTGAAATGTTGCTCCTGGAGGCAAGCAAACTCTCAGCCGCAGCCCAGTGGGAAGTCTCCGTGGGGGGGGGGGGGGGATGGGGAGGGAGGGCCACCTGCTTAAGAAAACACTTAAAGATGCTTTATCAGCAAGTAGTTATTTTAGAAACCAACTCTTCACCTAATGGATCATCCCTGTGATGAGCATCTTAATTCAGACAGAACCACGATAAATGGATGTGGGATTTCTTACCAGTACTTTTCTCCCAGACTTTGTAAAGAAGGCAAATATTGTATGGAAAATGTTCTCCTTTTCTTGAGGAATGACGCATGGGGTTGGGTTTCTCTGAAAAGTGCAGTTTCCTTTGTCCTGGGCAACCTGAAGGCAGAAGAAAGACTGTAATACAAACCCATCCTCTTTCTGATACTTTCCCATTATATAGTACACTCATTACAAATACATTCATTGCAAATGGTTTCATACTTCTCCTGTATGCTCAGAGAGACAAAGCCAACTTGTGGAAGGGTTTCCCATCTTCCAGTCACACATATACAATACATATCAGCTGGCAGACACATTTGGGGGCAGAGGCTGCTTGGTGATGGTGCCTTCATCGTCCAGCAAGTCAACATAGTTGTGTTGTTTTAGGAGTACATAATTAAGGCCATCTTGTTCAAGTGAACCATTGGGGGAAATGTGAATTTTTATCCTGAATATGTCTTTGCTAGAATGTATCAGTTACCGTTATTTATGTGTTTTTTTGCATTGACTATAGTGTATACCACTGATCAGATGCATTTATTTTCAGTTGTTGTTAGCACTCTTAAAAGATTTTAAAGCCTATAATGAGATAAAGGTAAAGGTTCCCTTGATCGAAAGCCAGTCAAATCCGACTCTAGGTAATTTTTATCTTAAATATGTCTTTGCTAGAATGTATCGGATACCATTATTTGTGTTTTTTGCATTAACTATACTGTCTACCACTGATCAGATGCATTTATTTTCAATTGTTGTTAGCACTCTTAAAAGATTTTAAAGCCTATAATGGGATACAAATACATAAATTTCAGAGGTGGGCACTGCTAGCATGGGCAGTAAGAATACCATCTGCCCCCCCCCCCTATAATCAGCCGCCCTGAGCCCACGTAGCGGGGAGGGCGGGGTATAAATTGAATTTAATAAATAATAAATAAATAATCACATTGTTCTAATGGTACCAGAATTTCATGAAAGTGACCATGGGGAATGGCAATGTCTTCAACCTTATAAGAAGTAGCCTGACTTCTAAGTAAGTGTGCCATAAATAAACACCTAAAACATAATAAAAACAACTAACACTTAAAAGCAACAACGGTGCTCAGTCACTGATATCAGATTGCAACCACACATCTCAACCATTGATAAATCAGACGGAATTAAGTTATATAAAAATCCATGGCACTTATGATTGCAACCAGACATCTCAACCATTGATAAATCAGATGGAATTAAGTTATATAAAAATCCATGGCACTTGCATCTAAGTAACTGACTTAAAACTAGGATATAAATTAATAAAACCATTTTTAACATTTCACAGTTGGCATTGTTGGAATGTGTAACAGCGTGGGTGGCCATCCTTCATCTAGGATTAGAAGCTCTCAGCCCAAACTGCTTCAGGATGAAGCTTCATGGAAACAGAAATACAGAAATAGACAAAAGAATCCAGGCAAAGAGCCTGCCAGCTTTAGGAACGCTGTTCTTAAGAACTTGGGGTTTACTGGATGGCTTTGCCACAAGGGAATGAAAAATGCAAACTATAGTTCCAGAGCTGATCATTGCCCAACTGATTCTAGGGCTTGTGGATTGACTCCCAAAAAATCAAGAGTAACTCGAGCGTGCAGAAAAGGTCCATATTTACACTTTAGAAATCCACATTGTTTACATAGCACATGTCAGAAAGAGCTAGGGCCTCACAGGGATATGTTTGTGCAAATTCAGATGAATGGGTCTCCTCAAAGGAAAGTGGCCATGCGAGAGGCTCATGTAACACAAACTCATATGTGTAAGTCCCTGAAACCTCTCTGAAAGCAGAGATGAAGTAATACACTGCGAAGCACAATTTGTACTGATTGAATAGTTTACTAAGTGCAATGAACTGGAGATCCGGTGGAAAAGTCAACCCATGTTGGTTTCACACCCATTAGAAATGGCCACCTTAATCCATTATAACACGAGCAAAACCCAGAAAGTAACACAAAACTAAGAGTCTGTTCAGTCGTTAGAAAGTGAATAGGCACAATTGGCTTGTAAGGAAAAAGAGGTTTACCATCATGATGGACTCAAATATGCACTGCAAAATGTGAAAGTCTAATTATTTGAAATAGTGGGAGGTTACTTGCTTATTATAATGTATTTCTACAACATCTGATTATTTATTATGATATATTTCTATAATATCTGATTTTTTTGCAAAAAACATGTCTAATTTTACAGCTAAAACAATAAATAGTACCTGACAGAATGAAATTTGAAACTGACAAATAATTGCTGTGGACTGTATGGTAAACTAGAAATGTAAAAATAGTTAGGTTTATGCCCATCTGCTCATTTTGTAAATGGCATCCATAGAACGAGGAGGTTCTGCCTCATAAAACAGACTGTTTCCATTAAATAGCCTTTCAGCTTATTTTTCATGTAACACAGAAACATGCAATACATTTCGGGAGGGCAGGTATTCTGATAGTGTTTTGTTGCCAGCATGAACCTCATCACTTCTCAGAGGCAGGATGTAACTAGTCAAGTAAAAAATGCGTATGACTTCACTCATAAAGAATGCAGTGATTGCAATATACAAAAGAATTTCCCATAGGATTTCTTTAATAGATGTTGTATACTCAAGGAACCATATGGAGTAGGGAGAACCAGAGGGAGAAAGTGGCAGTGAATTTTAGCCTAATCAGACTATGTCATCATTAGACAAACACAGGAGCTGTGCATCTTTGGGAGGTCAAATGTTTCTGGAAGGCAGCAGCATAGATCAGGAAAATGAAGATATTCAGCCCACATGTGTTATTCTGATGTACAGGCTATATTGTTTAAGCGGAATGATCATCTGCAGTCTCTCTAAATCTGTTTTAACCTATGGATGTATTTGATAAAGCCTTAACACTCTTCAGAAGGCTGAACCAATAAATATATACCTTTACTTGACTTTGCATCAATGGCAATTTAGTTATCACATGCTGGGGAACCACATTCCAAGAAAGGACAAGAGATCCAGTAAGATCCTCCAGTGCAGTTTCTCCCATCTCTGTTTTAGAGTCATGAGAAAAATGACAACTGTTGAATGTTGCCTGCTTCTGAGCATTTAAGTGACCTGGAGAGCTTTAACAACACATACACTTTATATAAGCTACTCTGTGAGTAAATAATGGCATTCAGGTTCTGCAGAAACAAATTTTCATATGTGAGGTTTATGCTGCCTTTCACACTTTCTCATATTCTTTAACGTCCTAGTTTCTTGCTGAAGAAAAAGCAAATGCGCATTCTGGCCAACACAGGCTTAACATCCATACAACTAACTTACCTGAAGAAAGGGTGGCTTTATGCTCCATGTGTAAAGTCACAGACAAGAACACTCTGAAAGCCCCTCCCCATTGCAGGTATGGGACCCCTCCACTACTTTGAAGGAAAGTCCTCCATCTAGGGTTGCCAGCTCTGGGTTGGGAAATACCTGGAGATTTTGGGTGTGGAGTCTGAAAAGGGTGGATTTAAGGAGGAGGGGGACTTCAGTGGGGCATAACGCCACAGAGCCTACAAGAAGACGAAGACGAAGAAGAAGAAGAAGAAGAAGAAGAAGGAGATGAAAGACGAAGAAGACGAAAGACAAAGAAGACGAAGAAGAAGAAGGAGATTTGATTTATACCCCCGCCCTTCACTTGGAGTCCCAGAGGGGCTTACAAACTCCTTTCCCTTCCCCTCCCCACAACAGACACCCTGTGAGGTGGGTGGGGCTGAGAGAACTCTGACACAAACTGCTCTTTCAGGAACAGCTGTGCCAGAGCTTGCAACTGACCCAAGGTCACATCAGCAGGTTCAAGTGGAGGAGTGGGGAATCAAACCCGGTTCTCCCAGATTAGAGTCGGCACACTTAACCACTACAGCAAACTGGCTTTTTCTCCAGGTGAACTGATCTCTGTCACCTGGAGATCAGCTGCAATCCTAGGAGATCTCTAGTTACCACCTGGAGGCTGGCAACCCTATTGATTTCTTTGTTAAGGCAATAAGGCTAAGATCAATGAGACATGAGCTTCTGATTGACCACAGATGCAGAAGGCAACTGAGAGTGTTATCACTGTAAATGGTTCCCATTCATTAAAACCTAGACACATTGATTTAGGACTTTGGGCTCTGGTTAATATTGGCCTAATTAAAACATCACACCATATCATGGATTGGTACTAACCACAGCTCAAAATGGAAATCCTGTTTCAGTCATCAAATATAAACCATGGTTCAGAGCCAACTGGGTACTTCCATTTTCCATTTGTTCAGCACTCCCATTCCTATAATACAGCAGACTCTCAAGGTAGTAGGATGACTGTAACTAGAGGCTGTCAATTCAGACTTCATGCCAGGTTTACATAAACCATAGTTAGCAAATGTATTTCAAACCCTGTTTTCTGATTTTGGTTTGCAAGCTTCTGATTTTGGTTTGCAAGCTGACCTGACCATGGTTGAACTTCCTAGACCACGACTTTGTACGAACCGGGCTACTGGTTTTTACTTTCTAGTGGGTCATTAGGCAATACGGAAAGCAGAAGAGAGCTATTTCACGTCCTAGTTATCGTGGTTGCTCCCTTCAATACACAAGAAAATCCACATATTGATTTTTTTCCATTTCATAACCCTCTTCATTTTCTGTCTTTCTCAACAATATCCCCTTTAACACAATCCGTCATCCATTAAAACCAAGACCATTTTCTCTGTGTGTGGAATGGTCACTACGTATGTTTACAGCCTCTCTGTTTTTTCTGTGCTGTTTCAGACTATTTCTACTCTCAGCCACACAGAGCAAGCTGGAACGGTCAGTTCCAGCACTTCTGAATGACAAACAATAGCTATTGGGGAGACATCCTTCTGGGATGAATATGGATCAGCTGATACCGTTCATGCCTCGAACAGATGCCTGCTTCAGAAGCCCCAGGGTACTTTGACCTCAGTGACTTGTTAAACGTTTCATCTCTGAACTGCTGTCAAAGAGAGTTTTCAAAAAAAACAAAAAAGGATCTTTCTTTAAAAATATACTTCCAAAGTGGAAACAGACAAACTGAACAACATGCAATACCTCTCCCTTTTCTGCAGAGGTTCAAAAAACTTTCAGAGTAGGCTTGTAC